AAAAAAAAAAAAAAAACAAAGAGGACTGGGCTGGAAGTCTTGTCCTGTGTGGTCTTGGCTCTGGTGCTTCGGAGTACGGACTCCAGTCCAACCTCTGAGCCCAGTGGTGTTGAAGCTCCTCAACCCAGGTCTGGCGCCCCTATATCAAATGACCACGCTGACGGTCATGGTCTGGCCGTGGGGCGCTATCTTCCTGGGCCAGGCTAGCAACAACTTGCGCAGCTCCTCGCGGAAGCTGTCGTGCAGCCAGGCGTAAATGAAGGGGTTGTAGCAGGCAGAGCTCATGGCGAGCCAGTGGCAGAGCAGCTGCACCAGCCCGAAGGCGTAAGAGTCTATGGCGCGCGGGTCGAGGTCTCGAAGCAGGTTGAAGACGTGCAGCGGCAGCCAGCAGACGGCAAACACCACCACGACAACCACCAGCAAGCAGAAGGTGCGGCGGCGCCGCGCGCGGTCCCAGTCGGCCTGGCTCTGGGTCAAACAGCCCGGGACCACGCGGTTCCGGAGCTTCACCGACACCCGGACGTAAGACAGGAGGATGACCAGCAGGGGGAGCAGGTAGGTACCGAGCAGCAGCCCCCAGGCGTAGAGCTGGCGCTGGCGCTCCTGAGAACCCCAGAACTCCTCGCAGAGGCGCACGTCGTGGGGCTTGAGCTCGACGTGGTAGGTGTGCAAGGCGGCCGGCAGCGCCAGCACCGCGGAAAGCGCCCAGATGGCCAGCACCGCGTAGGCGCTGAAGCGCAGCGAGATGCGGCGGCGCAGCGGGTGCGCCAGCACGACGTAGCGGTCCACCGCGATCGTGGTCAGCGTGAACACCGACACGTAGACGGTGACCGGCTGCAAGAAGAAGACCAGGTGGCACAAGCCGCCGCCGAACACCCAGCCCCGTGGCTCGAAGGCGTAGGCCAGTGTGAGCGGCACGCAGGCGGCGCACATGAGCACGTCCGACAGGGCCAGGTTGCCGATGAGGAAGTTGGTTACGTTGTGCAGCCGGCGCACCCGCGCGATCACGAGCACCAGCAGGCAGTTGCCCACCAGCCCCACGACCACCACGACGCTGTAGAGCAGCACGATGAGCCCCTTCAGCTGATGCACCAGCTGCAGGCTGTGGAAGGGCGTGAGGGCCTGGGCGCCCGAGCCCGCGGCCGACCCGTTGCCCCCCGAGGTCTCCGCGCTCTGGTTGGCTGGGACTGTAGCCTCCGGCGGCAGCCCAGGAGGCAAGTCAGGGTCCCCAGGGTTTCGAGTGGGCGGGGAGGCCATGCTATCTGTTCAAAGATAATGGAGTCTGTCATTTCACATTCTCCACTGTCACTCCTAAGCCAACCACGCCCTCCCCAACCCATCCTGGCCCCGTCACAAAGTCCTCCCTCTGGAATAACTGGCTACACAGCAACAACAAAAACACTAAATAAAAAGTGCTGTCCTTCCCCCCTCCCCGGTAAAAATAAACCTAAGCGCGGTTAGACGTGCACAGGTTATTTAAACGCCCCCGCTCAATGCACAGCCCTCACTCTCCACGCAGTCCAGATCAGGGTGTGAAGTCCTACCTGTGTAGGGGGCTCGGCAGGCGGGACCGCGGTCTTGGGAAGGAAGGGCAGAATTCCGGCTGTCCCGTAGCAATCCTCCCCACGACGGTGACCCAAGCTTCTCGCTTCTCCGCGGAGCTGAGCGTTCCAGGGGTTCCCAGCTGCAGCAGCTTTTGAAAGGGGCCGGGAGCCCCTCCTCCGCCCCGCCCACCACTCCAGCGCGCCCTTGTGTGGAAACTGGGGGCGGAGCTCGCGCCGCACAACTCCGCGTTTACAGAACTGGTGAGGGGGGTTGAGAGGGGTGGTCTCAGAAACGGAGGAGGGGCTGGCAACCTGGACCCGAGAAGCCAGGGAGGGGTAGTCTGGACTGCGGGATCATGCGGCGTCTAGAGAATCCCGGTCCAGAAGCAGCGTGCGGTGGATGAGGGCCGGAGAAGCATGAAGCGCCAGGCTGTCGGGACGACTTGATGCCGTCTCCAGGGAGGAGAGTCAAGGGACGAAGTGTTGGAGGGGGTGAGATGCACCAGGGGCCGCGGGGGAGAACTACTTGTCATTTAGCACTGGGTCCTGTAGAGTCTCGGCCGAGGTTGATGGAGTCGCTAGGGTCTTCTGGCAGGTCTTTGCAGTGCAGAGCCTGGAATTTGTCGCGGACTTTATCTCGGACCTTTGGGCCGTCGCCCTCCCTCCGACTTTTGAGTTTTTTCCTGGGCCGCGGCGCGCTTGGCAGGCACCTGGCTCGTCCGAGCCAAAGCTGTCCTGTCCCGTTCAGGACCACGGACAGCTGCCGCCAGACCAAGGTGCGCCACGCGGCGCCCTGGCAGAGGGACGCCCGACCACGGCGGGAAATTCTTTCTCCTGTGGCTCCCAGGAGTTCGCCGAAGGGAGCCGGCTGGCTCAAACAGCTGTCTCGCCGCTTGCCTCTTGGGTAAGAACTGTAGGATGGATGGAGGCAGATGAACCGGCTTTCCAGAGGTCGGAGGGTTGCCGACTTTCGTTTCTGTGCGTGCGAATGACCGCACGTGGTACAACGCCATTTTTTACCTCCCTCGTGCCTGGTACCCTACACACTTCAGTGCCCCGCCCCGCCATCCCTTACTCAAGTTTCTCGGCTACCCTGTCCGACTGACTCTCCCTGTAAAAAACATCAAGTTCCTAGACCCTCTTCCAGGCCTCTTCACTTAATTTTAGGATTTAAAAAAAAATACAAGTAATTGCAAGGTGTCTGCTATGATAACAAAAGTAATAAACATTTGAAAAGCTTCACCATTCCATAAAATCATAGTAGTGTTCAAGATTTCAAGTAGTCACTGAAATATAAATTCACCTAGCCCGTATGGGGTGGTAACCAGGGAGGAGGGCTTTGTGACCTTGCTCTTTAGAACCTACCTCATCTCCTGGAGGTCTCTTCTTTCCTTGTTATGGAGGATGAAGCTTCATTGTCCCTTCACTGGTAAGTCCATGTGCTTTGTCCGCTGCAGCTACAGATGTCCCAATTAGACCGGAAAGAAAGAGCACATTATGCCACCCTCCAAATTCAAGTGAGTCTTTCATACAGGAAAAAAAGTCAACGCTGGCACAAGAGCAATCAATTTATGCACTTGTATGCATCCTAAATGCACATGCACGGAGCTACAATCAATCTAGCTAAAAAAAATTTTTTTAGAACTACAAAGCTTCCAATAAGATGCAAACTGTGCCTGCCTAATCCCCTCATTTTCACCAGCAGGATTGTATTTTCCCATGAGCAGAAGAGCTCCTTTGCTTCCAAATAGCTTAAGCAGAGGGAACTGTCAGGCAGGTGCTTGTGCCATTGAGCTATATCCCCAGCCCAAGCCAAGGGAATTGTAGTAAAGTAGGTGGAAGAAGTTTTGGGATGCGGTCAGGCCTTGCGATTACAGTCATCATTCTGATTAATTTCACTGATATGTCATAGTAAAAGAAATAAAATGACAACCTTGTCAACAGCTAAAGGTCATACAAATACTATATAAATACCAGTTTTGGAAGCTTAACATTGAGACATCCTTCAAAGAAGAGTGTTGGTGATTTGTCAAGTCCCAAGTGAAGTCTGGTAAAGGTTTTAATGGTGTCTATACTTGTCTATAGCTTTTCTTAGATATTTACTCCCCCGATCCTCATTAATCAACCAGTATAATTAAACCATACTAATGCTCAGACGTTCCTGTGCTAATTAGTAATGCTGAAAGTTCATAAATAAAGAACTCTGAAGAGAAATGAAGAAAGTAGTTCCCTAAAGTTTCGATGGGCCAGCAAACCAAGGTCAAATCTTTTAACATGGCAAAGATTCCTGTTCTGATTTCCCTTAAGATTTTTTGGGGGAAGGAGACTTGTTTCTCCCCTTTTCCCATTTTACTTCCTATAATAAATCAGAACTATTCTAGGTATTGGCATAGCCTCACCCTTCCCACCCAATGCCTCTTTTAGGATTTTTTTTCTCTAGAATGTCAGTTGCTTTGATACCACTCAGCTGTACATGTCCACATTCTTTACATCCTACAAGATCCAACCCAAAGATTACCCTGTTCTCAAATACTTCCCCCTTTCATAATCTTTTATTTTTATCTCCATTTGAAATTACAAAAGTGTTAAGCCCCACCTTTATAATACTGTTTATAAACTTCTTATGGACAGAGGCCAATGTTTTGAAGCATTTTTTGTATCTTTAGCATGCCATGAACCCAGCAGATACCCAATACATGTTTCTTTTAAGTGAATGAATAAGTATGGCTACCATTTATGGAAGGCTTCTGTACCCATGCAGTGTACTTAGTACTTCACATGCGTGTTGGGGCACCCTCCAGAGAAGAGTTGGCCATTTGACAAGTTCCAAACAAGTCTGGTAAGTGTTTTAAGTGTTTAAGTCTGGTAAGTGCTTAACTCACCATAATGGCACAGCTAGTAAGCAGCGGGGCTAGAATTTCAAACAAAAATCTGCTTAACTCTATAACCAAACTGTTCACTTACTCTACACTACTGCCTATGAATGAGTAATACGAGTACCTGCACAGGCTGAAAATACAAGCAGGTCAAAAGGGGTTGCAAAAGTACAGATTTATTAAAGGAAGCTCTATAAAATTAAGTGGTTTATTAAGGGAAGCTCAAAAGATTCAGTTGTAACTCTACCCTTATCATATTGAAGTTAAAACAGATCTTTATAGCTCACCTATATCTCCTAGTAATTGCCTAGAATCTACCAAAACAGTGTATGAAATATGTACATCCTGACGGATGAGAAAAAATGAAGACTGCTCTAGTCTGTCCTCTGAATTGCACATGTGAACAAGACCATCTCAGAGTAAGTTTTCTTTCTGGAAAATTTGGCATCCTCTCACCATCCCAGAGGTCAGGACATAGTCCAGATCTTTCACAAACACTCAGCTGGAGAAAACCTAAAGTTTGCCTAGATGTCAAGCCCAAATGTTAGGACTCCATATGGTCCCCATGTTGAAATAAGTCACAGTAAGACACACACCCTGCCTTGCCACACCAGTGATGCCTCTGGGTGAGTAATACAAGTACCTGCACAGGCTGAAAATACAAGCAGGTCAAAAGGGGTTGCAAAAGTACAGATTTATTAAAGGAAGCTCTATAAAATTAAGTGGTTTATTAAGGGAAGCTCAAAAGATTCAGTTGTAACTCTACCCTTATCATATTGAAGTTAAAATGAGTTTCTTGTGTCTTTTGATTTTTGATGGGATAGAAAGAAAATTATATCCAAAGACCATTTCTGTAATCCCAGCACTCGGGAGGCTGAGGTAGAGGGATCATTGTGATTTTGAGACCAGCCTGGGCTACAAAGTGAGCTCAAGGTCAGCCTGAACTGCATAGCGAGACCCTGTCTCAAAAAGACAAAAAATTAAAGAAAGACCAGTTCTGGTCAGAATAATAGCTTTTCAACCTTTACTTTATGGGCTGGAGAGTTACCACAGAACCAGTGTGTGGCCAACTGAACTGGGAGCCATAATTATTATGTCTGAGGTCTGTAACAAAAAAGCACTTTCTCAAAGTCATCTGAGGGAAACACATAGGGCCTTCTTCACTTCTGCATGAGATGCCATGCCTGCTCTTACGCTGCCTGTCACAGGCTGCTCTCTGCCTTAAGTAGCCCTCTCTACCATGTCGCAGGCACTTACAGAGCCAGTGCATGACTTGGTCTGAGCAGCCAAGAGGATGTCTGCCTCGGGTAACACACAGAACAGGCGTGGAAGGCTAAACTCACCTCTGTCCTGTTACTGCCTGGACATAGACACATTTCAAAACATTCCTTTTTCCCACTAGCTATTAAAGATGATCTCTAGCATTTTCCCAGCTATCTGGGCTAACTCCAGTGTATCAGCATGAACATTAGCTGTACCCAAGTTTTAGGTCCCTTTAATCAAGCTTTCCCATCTCTAACTCCAATCATTGCTTCTGTTATTACCTGTCTTCTGTTTTCTATATCATTCCACCCATTATTAGGCAGCTTTCCATTACTGTAACAAAATACAGAAGAGGACAAAATTATAAAGGTAGCAGGCTTATTTTAGATCATGGATTTAGTCCATGGCCACTTGACCTTATTGTTTTCGGGAGAGCGAGAGAGAGACAGAGACAGAGAGAGACAGAGAGGCTCTAAATCCCCACAATCCCCCTTTGTTGGGGTCCACAGATTATAAATTGAGTCTAGAGGATGTTCAAGGCCATCCTTGTCCTGCCCTGTGAGCAGATTGGAAT